GAAAATCTTAGAATCCCAGATGATTGAGATATGCGTGTTATAAGCTTGGGGACTGATTAATTTGGAGTTTTCAATAAACATGAAGTGAACAGAAAATCAAAGCCTCGGCTTTCAATCCAATTTCAAATCATTTTTTTTAATATAAAGCAAATTCAAATCAATGTTTAACTTTCATAATGCTGTAGTTTTATCATTTAATCAATTAGTTTTTATCAAAACGACAGAGGTATTTATAATAAAAGCACTCACGACGCATGGTAATTCGCACTATAATAAAATAATAATAATAAATTTTAGTTTTAATTTTAGCGATTGTTAATTTTAAGAAATCAGTGGTGCCAATTGGTATAAATAATTAATCTGTTTTGAAAATTGATGGATAGAGGGAGGTGATATCTGCACTCCTCCAATATTACAACCGCACACTCCCCCTTCGTTCATTCTCATTGGAAACTGACGACTTTACCCCTTGCTAAAGAAACATCCTCCTCCTCTCTCTTCCACCACCGTAACTTTCGCTGCCCTGCCCAACACATCCTGAGCACTAATTAAGATTTGCAACTGAGTTGAACACGACTCTTGGATTCCTCTACCTCTCCTCCTCGTTATTGCTTGTGACTTTTATGATCAAATCTCATATTAAACGCAAATCAAGGTCTTTTACAATCTCCCGTTGCCTTCTTGCTCTTACTATAGTTTGCAACTTGCCATTATTAATTTTAGATACATTTCTTTTTGTGACTTGGATGAAGAGGTGTGCAAGACTCCACTATCAGGCCTTTGTCTACAGGGAGAGAACTTCCTGTGTTAAACCACACAAGTCACTCTCAAAATTGGTTTGCAAAGTTCATGAACGCACAAAATACATTGAACTTGACTGTCATGTCGCGAGAGAAAATATTTAGGCAGGACATCATAATTAACCAAGTTCGTTCCCTCCAACTTGCTGGGATGTCTTCACCAAAGCTCTGGGAAGAAATGAGCACTTTATGAACTTAATACGCAAGTTGGAAGAGATAGATATTCATGCTTTAACTTGAAGGGGAGTGTTGAGAATTGTTTGAGCTGGAATAGGGCAACAGAAATCAGAATATCTCATTCAAAGAAATCCAATGATATTCTCTGATTGGTATCCCTTTTATATATATAGAAGTTGATTGGTTTGTTTCCTTAAAGAAAAGATCAGTTAGAAGCCTCTGTTACTCTGTAATGCGAATATATATGCTATCACTGTATCCTAATTTTTCATGAACTGGGTTAATGCTAAGTTGCCAAGCTACCGACTAAGCCATGGGTTGGCGGATCAGCTGGGCTGTGATAATAGTGGATTGGAAGGCAGTTGGTGTGGTAGGGATCGGCAATGGTGGTAGCAAAATGACAACATCAGTGAGATATACGATGATGTCAATCAGAAAAGGAAACCAAGCACAAAGAACAACGAATGAGAAAAACGTTCCTGGTCTGGTGTTGGTAGACTGGATTTTAGTCAGAGAAGATGATTTTTATTTAGGGGTATAATTGTCACTTTGTACGAAAACAAATTAAGAGGAGTGTGGCTATGACGTTTAGTGGCGTGGATATATCAATCATAGCGCCTCCCTATGTTCCAGGTATTTACTTCTCATATACTCACAAATTTATATAAGTTTCATCAAGAAAAATATTTATAAATCTTTTTTTATAAAGAAAAATACTACTCTAAAATAACATGAGGCATTATGAATTTATGATATATTGAATAATACTATTTTACATTTTAAAGAGATAGCAAGTGAAAATAGCTATCTTTTTAAAAGTTATATATACAAATATCAATTAATTTTGCGTGACGAATTCCATAAATAAATGAGAGATGTGCTTGTCTAGACCATGGAGTGCATCAGATCTTTGAGAAAGCAGAGCAACATGTTCATGGAGATTATGGGGGCTTCAATATATCGAAATGAAGTTATATAAACAACCTGTTGATATAATTAAGGGCTCCTTTTACAAAACTAAACAGAATTCAAGTTGGGCTGTTATGCTTAATTTAATTTTTTATATTTTATAAATTATAAATCTAACATATATTTTTTTTATTTGAGCCGGTTTGATATATCAAATTAAAATAAATCACATTAAAATAATTTTGTGTGTGAATATTATAGATATCTACAAGTTGAGTTTATATTGTTAATTTTCATAAATTTTCATATTTAAAAATGAACCTATAACACATCCTGTAAATTTCATGTCATTCTTAGATATAATTTTTATATCTTAGATGACCATTAAATTGTAGTTATTTTTTTTATTTCAATCTCTAGTAAAGAGATAAGCTTTTTTTTTTTTTGTTGTGTTAAAAAAAATCTAATAGAAAGTCCATTAACAAAAACTTTTGAGTCAAAATATTTATGAATAAAATAAAAATAAATTCTCAATTTATAAATTATTAAATATAAAGATAAAAGGAGTATTGAGTTTTTAGATTGATTAGATTGATTAAGTTTCAAAAATTCTGATCGTCTCTCAACCTTTTATATACATATATTTAATTTTTAAATTTACTATTATCTATAATATTTATATTATCTAATTTTGATTATTTGAATTGAGTTAACTAATATAAATATTATAGAAAAGCCAATTTTATTAAACAACACCTTGATGATATGACAAGGTTTGATAATAAAATTAAAAATGAAAATATTTTTGGGTTTTCTTCAATATTATATCTAATCACAAACCCCAAGCTGCAATCTTAATTTAGTAAAATAAAATTTATAAGGTTAATAATTAGAAGAAACGTTGACTGTCAAAATTGTTGGATATTTATACATAAAAGAATTTTCACCTCCCTTTCCTTTTATGAGCCAGAATCTTTCCAACTTTGCTATGTTTTTTAATTTTTAGATTTTAAACCTTTGTTGCCAATTAGAGCATATGATTGACAATTGTTCTGGTCAAAATTTATGTTAATCTACAAATCGTAGTTATAAAATTGACATAAGCTAATATTCAATCTTCTGGAGTCTAGGACTGCCTTAATGACCGAATGAGGTGCATCTGTTGCTTAACATCTCAAAAATGCAAATATTTGAAAAACCTATATATGATCAATAATTAGTTGAAGACAGTGATTGTTGTTGTTGTTGTTGTTGTTATTTTGCTTATGCAAATTATAAACAGATATCCCTCTTTCATTTTGAGTACAAGAGCTGGCTATTTTTAGGTAGAGAAATGATCTCTTTGAGGAAAAAAACAAGAAGAAATTGTGTCATAATAGTTATTGTACATACAATATAAATTATAAAGTCCATGGAAAGAGACAAGGATCTCAATATTAAAGCTTCTGCCACCGATTTAGAGCTGTCGACGGATATCTACAAGTTAAGGACAGTTGATCAATCTTCGCTATCTTACCCTACGCATAAGCAAGCATACCAACCTGCGTCGATCTCTCCCATGGCTCCAAAATATTTTGTCAGGTAATATTAGGTGTCATCTACCGCTAATGAACAACGTATTATGTACTAATTAAATCTAATATTTCATAATGTCTCAAGGTATCAAATAATAGAAAAAACTTGCAAAAGCATCAAGTACCCCACCATTAACTAATCCATGTTTCTTGTCTCCCTCTCCTTGTTTTTGTTCGAACATAAATTGTAATGAAGCACCCCATGTGCATGCAAGCTTGTTTCTTATATTTCTTCTTCTTGTTGTTAATTATTTCTCCCCTTCTTATCTTGCATGAGTGTGTATTGCATGTCATTCTTCATTTGTATGTTCAAGCATCCCCATCAATGTAATTATTCTACAACGACTCAGCAACTCACAGACCATGAATTAATCTATAATTAATGGAATGTAATCCCTTAACTTACAGGAAGAGTTTACTAGTTTTTCGAAGTTGATATTCTCCTCAACTATAATGAGGTTGGTCGAGTAAATAAACTTGCAGTTTAACTAACATCTATCTATTTATAAAGTATTTAACCCCAAAAGATTGGTCTATCAGCATTTAGCTAAAAGGATCGGGAGGGTTTGTTTCCTTAAAGATCTCAATTTCAAATCCTATCAATATTAAATTTATTAAGGTGATGGGCTACAAGACTTAAACCTATATATATAAAAGCTGGTTCTGAGCCGTAAAGATTTAGTATAGTGCATGTAAGCTGGCTCAAAATACCTGTATTTTAAAATAAAAATAAAAAAGTATTTTAACTTTTTTTTTAATCCATAACTTTTTGAATGAAAAACTTGGAAAATGTTCTAATATATACACATCTCAAGAGAATAATAATTATAAAAACAGATGGATCATTTATTTATCCAACATGGAATATTTAATAAATGGTAAATAATTAAATCACCAAATTAAACTTGATTCAATAAAACATGAAATCACCAAAGAAACGTGGCACAAACGCGATAAGTCGGTCAAAAAATCAAAGATTCATGAAAATGGAAAATGGCGATGAATATTGTCCACGTCCACGTTGTAAGAGTAGTTGAAAATCATTGCTATAGACTAGACTAGACAGAGGTGTCGAATCGAGAGGTTGAGATTTTTTTATTTTTGAAAAAAGAAGAACAAAGGGTTAGTCATTGACGGCGTGATTGAAGAACCAGCGGAGCCACGTGTTGGAGAAGCCAAAGAAACATATTTTGTTACAGATCACAATCAACGTTTGAGTGGGGACCCACTTATAATATTTGCCACCATTCATTGAGATTGATTGCCAACTGGCATCTCCCCCACACCTCTCTTCCCTATTTTATCCTTCCCATGCCATGCTTATTTACAAGACCCACCCTTGCTTTCAATCATTATCGGCCAAACCAACCCTAAATTTGTGGACACTTATAGCCCCGCGGGGATCACCTTGTGCTGCGGGAGGGCAAAGGGCTAGAGAGGGTCATTTGCATGGTGAGGTTGGCTTGCGTGCATTAATAACAAGTTGGTATTTTTCGGTAATTAAGCTGGAAAACAAGGGGTAGGTTTGTTGCAAGTATGTCTATATGATGCCATTGGCCTTAAGCATGATGCGAGACAATTGGCTGTAACAGTTGCGTTGAGGTGGACACGAGGATAGATAGATAGCAGAGAGACAGAGAGTTTGAAAGTAAGTGAGAAAGATGCGCACAGATTCTTTTGGCTGATTCATCAACTTTGCACCTTTCTTCTCTGCTTGTATGAATTTATGTTTGACTCGTAAATATATAATTCATGATATTTCTTTCATGTAAATCGATGAATTTGTTTTTTTTTTTTCATATTTTTCTTTCTTAATTGGATAGAGTTTTTGATCTTTAACCTCTTGATTACTCATACATGTTTCTTTTCCGGATATACAGATTCGTTGAGTTGAGACAAGAGAGATATGGGGTATTGGAAATCAAAGGTTCTTCCAAAGATCAAGAAGGTTTTTGAGAAGGACAGTACTGCCAAGAAGGCAGCTGCAGCTGAAGCTATCAAGAACTTTGATGAGTCTAAGGTGCTCTTTTTAACCTGAAACTTTCTTGGATTTCTTCTTTTTCCACAAGAATACTGTAACTCGCTAGAGGCTTACAATATGTCTCTATTCTTTAACTTGCAATATGTATCCTTCTTGCTTTATTAGGAGGAAATCAGTAAGGAGTTTGAAGAGAAGAGGACTGAACTTGGACCTAAAGTGATAGAAATCTTTGAAGCTTCAACAGCTGAAATCAAAGTCAGTCAGTTTTATTTTTTCCCATGCGTACATCTACCTATTTTATACATGAATCAGGATATATACTAACATGGGCTTCTTAATTATCTTAACTTGAAACAGACCTTAGTTAAGGATCCCAAAGAAGCAGGATTAAAGAAGCAAACTACTTCAGTTCAAAAGTTCCTTGATGAGCTTGTTAAAATCGGTATATATATAGAAAATTTACTCTCTCTCTCTATATATATATATATATATATGTATGTATGTATCTGTGTATGTATGTATGTATGTATTTTTGTATGTATATGATCTCATGTCCTAGCTTCTTTCAATATCTATTAGCTATTTTATTATTCTCATCTCCATATATTTATATATATATATATTTTATTATTCTCATATATATATTTATTTATTTATTTATTTTGCCATATTTTTGCATGCACAGAGTTTCCAGGATCAAAAGTAGTATCTGAAGCATCGTCAAAATTTGGACCAGCCTATGTTTCGGGTCCTATTTTCTTCGTTTTTGAAAAAGTCTCAACCCTTATTCCGGTAGAGGAAAAGGCAGTAGAGCCACCAGCACCTGAAACAAAAACTGAAGAAGCAACTTCTAGCACAGAGAAGGAGATAGTAGTTGAAGAAGAGAAGAAAACAGAGGTAGTAGCAGCGGAGGCTTCAGAGAAGACTGAACCAGTGGCTGAACCACCTGCCAAGGTGGAAGAAGCAGAACCACCAAAGCCATGACTCACCATCAAGAAGTAAATCCCGCACGCCTTCGTGAAATAGGTTACATAAAAAAAAAAAAAGATTTGTTATTCTTTATCATGTATCCTTTCATTGTAAGTTCTTTGGGTCATATATTCCTTTGTGTAATTTTTTTTTTCTGAAGTTGTAATATCAATTTACAGTCTAGAGAAGTGGTGGGGGGTGCGTCACTTGGTTTCTCTTCTCTTTCCTTAATTTGTTCTTCTTGATAAAAAAATATTAAATTTCTTTGAATAGGATTGTATTTGTCCTCTCGCTCTGCATGTCTTTTTGCCTGTTTGTCCTATACTCCTATATATTAATAGTTGCTGGTATATGTCTTTTTTTATTTTAATCGTGCCTTGCTTGATAACGTTGCCTCTTTGCTTGGGATTTTAAGAATTAATTGCACGGAAAGAAATATTTTAATAAAAAATAATTAAAACCTTGGAGGAAATAAAAGCTTATTAATTTAAAAATGGAGTGCTTGTTTAAGTTGCCTGTGTTTGTCCTTCATTGCTGAAGTTCAATTTTTGCGTTCTCTAGCTGTAAGAACGAATTAGATTATTTGTTTTAAGAACATAAATCGGGAGCACATGCAAGATACATACTATTTCTTTCGGACGACATAGTATCTAGAATATATATATATATATATATATATATAGAGAGAGAGAGAGAGAGAGAGGTCATATTCCCGACTTTTCTGCTCTCTCGATCACTTCCTATCAGGGGACCCTGAATAAATCATAGGAATTATACTTCCATGAGTAAAATTATTTTGATCGGTTTCACTTTTGGGACAGGGCCAAGTAGCCGTTGAGGGATGTGTGCTTCAAGATCCATTTTGTAAGAACTCGTGAATTATTACAACAGATCGATTGTGCTGTTGTTAAATCTTGTTTGTAGTTTTACAAGTGGATGGCATTATTTAGGCCTGTTCTTTTTGTCTACCATACCATCTACCACCCTGGGGAGAATAGTGTTTTGCTCCAGCACTTCATTTGTTTGGTATCATGATGTATCAGCTCTTATCATGAATACTTGTACAGAATCAAGACAATGTAGTTATGTACCACCGGAGCGAAGATTAATTTCCTTAATTTTGACAGACTCTGTGAGGAGAAATGCTTGTTGTTTGTTCTGATGATCATCATGTCAGACCATTTTTTTCCAGGGAGGAGCTGGGGCATAGTTCTAAGGCTATTCATTTTATCAAGTTATTCATATCGGTGCAGGTAAAACAGTCAAGGATAGGGCTCAGAAGTCCCCTCAACCTTGGACATGCTCCACTGAACACAGTGCAATACTAGGAGGGAATCCAAAGTTAAGTCTTCTCTCATAGTTATTAGGGCAAACCATGCTCAAATCTAAAACCATCTCTTCGGCCTCCTCCTAATGAGGCTAGGGAAAGCCGTGTCCAAACTCAAGACCATCTTTAGCCCCTCCATAGTTGGCCTAGGATGGCCTCGCTGCGTGCCTCCTCTCTTTGGAGGTACGATCGCACGTCCCTCCTTGACATGACTTAAACTCTCAAATACAACTGACTGTCTTTAACGCACCAACGTTATTTTATTATAATTGAGCCCACTAAGTGATGACTGTCACGTTGGACTCATTTTTAGCCTCCTTGCCGTTTTAAAACTTCGCCTAATTCATAATCCATAATCGACACCTGACAGAATTAACTATGTAGGTTATAAGTTATCTGTGTTAATATAAAATAATATTATTTAAAGATTTAAAAAAAAATTAAAATAATATTATTTTAAATAAAAATTTAAATCAAGTCTTATATAAATTTTAATCAGGTAGAGTTAACTTTTCATGATAATAAATATAACTAAGTCAAACTCCCAACCCAATTCAACATAAAACCTAACTTCAATTAAGCAGGTGAAGCTTATTAACATTGCTTAGAAGATGATTGATACGGGAATATCTCTTGCTTTGAACAAAACACTACCATGTATTAGGATGTATATATCTAAATAATTTTTTATTTATTAAGAGTGATCACAATCTTTTTTTTTGTTTTACCTTTATCATTAAATAAATAGTTATAGTTCATGGATATAAATATACATCTATAAACCGTGAGGTAAATAGAAAGAGTTTCTTTCATATTTTGGTATCCTAACCTTCATCTTCTTTGTATCTTACAAATAACCATAAACACACAAATACATGATACTCAACCTTCAAGGTAATATCATTTTTTGCATCTTTATTAATTTAAACATGAAAAGATCTTTTGTATTATACATGAGACATATTTTGCAATAGATCATGAATTATAAGCTAAAGTCTTTTATAAAAATTCTAAAATCTATCAACCAGCCATGAAAAAAATCTAATATCTCTTAGAATTTGATCTAAATTTGATTAGTGGTATCATCTATAAGAACTTAAATAAAAGCCAAATCAATTCATTTTCTTTCTGTAAATCTTTAAACTCTTTTCATAGTTGGTAACCTAAAAAGACTAGGATAAGGAAGAGTGATAAACCTTCCCATTATAGATGTTTTATCAACTTCTCCTTATGTCTAAAAATTAGCTCAACAAGTAAGAATTCTCATAAAGATACTTTTAACAATATAAGAGAAACTTAGAGCCTTACTTATTTCTTAATCAGTGACTTAACCACTAGCTCCATAACATGCATCACCTAGTTCAAATAGAAAATTATTACCTAAATGAAAAAAATCCTCATGACAAATCATCATATTTTTATTTGGTTTTTTATTTTCAGGTAAAAATATTACTTGAACAAAAAGCAATCTTTATCCACGCAAAAAAAATTCACATTCGATGCTTGAACAAAAAACATCTATGAAATGCAATGACTATTTTGCTTAAACCAATTCGCAAATAAAAATTTAGAAAAAATTCTATATAATGAGTAATTTTGCTTGGGTAAAATATAAATTCTATGAAATACTCACTAGACTATATTTTTTCTATATAACTTTCCAGCCTAGACAAGAAAACACCTATACCTAGGTATAACATAATCTCTATGAGACATGCACTATAAATGTAACTATGTAACTTTCTAACCTGGACGAGAACACCTTCTTACATGCAATATAATCTCTATAAAACATGTACCATAAATTTCTCCATGTAATTCTATATCCTATGTAAGAATGGTTTTCATGAGACTTTTCCTTCCAAGTATAATACAGTCTCTACTTGAGTATATAGACAACTTGGAATGAACTCAAAGTGTTTTTCCAATCTAGGTATAAAAATCCATATTTAGGTATAACATGATCTGTGTGAAATATTTATTATGGCATTTCCTCCAAGAGATTCCCTACCATTAAGGGAAAAAATGACTAGGTAAAAAGACAATCTTTATTCGAGCATAAACATTAAAACTCTCTATTAAAATCCAAAGAAAGAAGTCTATCTCCACTCAAGAAAAAATAAGAGGTTGCCAACTTAAATTTTCATGATAGCATAAATGGTTACTTTACTTACAAGAGTAACAACAAGTATCCGTATGATTTTTCATTTGAATATGAACAATCATTTTGGGTACAACTATCCTTTAAAATATCTTATTTATGAATAAACAACCTTTTTAAGTATAAACATCCTATTCAAGCATATATAATTCCTTTAGGTACAATTACTTATTTACATATTATACAATATCAATTCAAGTCTATATTTGGGTATAGGGATTACCTAACTTAAACTAAAGGAATTCAGCACTCTAAGTAAAAATGATCACTATAAAACTTCTTCATCAATGAACTATTCAAATTTTCCATTCTAATATAGAGATGACATGACCTAAACTCAAAATACTTTTTTATTTAGGCATACTCTCAATTTAGATAATCTATATCTAGAATGAAAAAAAGTCAAGTTGGACATAATTCCATTAGAAAATCTAGCTTGAACTAGACATAACAACTCTTGAAAAGCTTGTCATAAAATAAAATAAAATAAAAAATCCAAACAAAAAAAAAATCCAAAAGGCCTTTCCCAAATTGGTCCACTATTAGCCATTCATCCAAACACAATACATGCCCTTTAACATGTCAAATATATGATTGTTTGGTCATGACACATGCTATGATACTAATTTAAATTTCTCAAAAACAATCCTTATCAAGGTTTTAAGTTACAAAAAATAACTTCGTTCGTGTACAAAAACATTTTTTACTTAAGTAAAAAAATCATTTTGCCTGAATACAACCAGATCATAAGTTACTCTATAACTTTTCATGATTTATCCCCTTTAAACTTCATAGGATTGAGGTTAAAGATAACAATTTTTATAATAATAATAAAAAAAAGAATATAAACATTTTTCATCCCTAAAGGTTTTGTCCACAAGGTTCTCCCTTATAACCCTAGGCTAGTCTTTTCTGGAATCAATGTTAGACATAATCTACTTCTTAATCATGTTTTTTTCCTCTATAAGTGGTGTTTTTACATGCTTTATTTGTTATAAAATATATACTTACTCACCCTGTCTCTCTATAAATTAGATAATCATCTTCAACTTCCTGGAATTAGAATCAAATAGGTCCCTTAACTATCTTTTTCTTAGAGCCATTTTTCTTCTTTATTGTTTTTTAGGCCCAAGTATAGCCGTATCAATATAAAAATTACAACATATCTAAAATAGGTACAAGATATGATTACAATATATACAACATTCAAGAAAAGAAAGATCTTATATATCTTAAATGCTTCTCCAATGAATGCCTTTTAACAAGATAACCCAAATACAACTCTTAGTCTGTGTCATTATGGTCATAAAGACTTAGAGAGCTATTAATGGATTCATGAAAAATAATTGTTTCCTATTTTATAAGTATTAAGACCTAAACATTGGGTCAATGATAGGGCTTAGAGGTCCCTCACTCTTGGACATACTTTATCAGCATGATCTAATGTTTAAAAGAACTCAAAGATGACCTTCCCTCCATGTTAGGTTAGGGCAAACCTTGCCCAAACCCAAACCCATCTTTTGACCTCCTTCAAATTGGGTTAAGAGAAGTTATTTCCAAATACAAGACCATTTATTGGCCTCTTCTTAGTTGGTCCAAAAAAATTACACATGAACCTAAAGTCATCTTTTAGCTTTTTTTTAGTTGGGCTTGAGTGGATTGATTGTGTACCCTTTTCTTTGTAGATTGACCATATATCCCTCCTTGATAAATATTCTCAAATATAAGTTGTCTAGAATGCATCTACATCATTCTATCATAATTGTGCTTACTAAAAAATGGTTATTATGTTGGACTCATTTT